CTTGATAGGGAGCCGGGAACTTGATGTAATTGTACTGAATGTGGTGTGTGTTACCCCGGATTTTGAACAAGCCCCCCACTAGTTTACGCCAGAAGATCTAGATACGCGGGGAAATGATGCACTAGAAGCCGAAGCGGGTCAGTCTCATTAACAAGAACTCCAACGTGATCAAGCAGCTCTCGACTACAAGAAGTGGAAGTATCGGTGAAGCAATTAATACCTATCCCGGGTATCTCTCAGTTTTTAGCGCTCACGAGCTAAAGGTTCCCTTCCTCTTCCTCTTCCCGACCAAGTTAGAAGCTGAAGACTTGGTCCTCCAGCTTGCTCACTGGCCTCGCCTTCTGATAGCCCAGCGATTCGGTCGCCTTCTTCATTGCGCTGACCATTGGTGGCGGGCCGCATAGGAGAATTTTGATATCAGAAGCAGGGGCTGGGAAACGTTCCTAGTGAAAACATTGTCATTCTGAGGGTCGCCTTCCAATGATTGAATGAGTATTCTTACCTTGATCATATCGGGCGTAACAAATCCGACGCCACCATCCCATGTATCCGGAGCATTGTTGAGCACATAGTACACCCTCAATTTAGCATCCTCTCTTGCAAGATTATCTATCTCTTCTTTCAACAGAATGTCCTCTGGGTTGACGTTAGCAAAGATCAGGTCTACCTCCGTCTCATCGCCACTCTTTCTCCCGCGCACAATAGCCTTGATAATCTGCAGCATTGGAGTAATACCAGTACCACCAGCAATCATGCCGAACCCTCTGACCATGTTAGGCATGTAGACCATGGTGCCCTTTGGACCCCTGACCTTTATCGTATCACCAATCTTCAGCGTAGCGAGATGTCTGCTGATGTTGCCATTCGGATAGGTCTTGACAAGAAGGTCAAAGTAGCCGGGATCGAAATCGGAGGAAATTGGCGTGTATGAGCGAACAACCTCCTTGTTCTTGACCTCACCGGTCTTTGGGTCCTTCACATCGAGGTTTGCGGCAATGGAGATGTGCTGGCCGATCGGCAACCCGAGGATAGAGTTTGGAGTGGGCAGGTCGAAGCGGTAGATGGCAGTATTGTGAGAGAGGACGGTCTTTTTGATAAGAGGAAATTCTTGGAAGTTGACCGGGTCAAGGACCTTGTTTATTTCTGAAACAAGGTCAGTATCCGTTGAGAAGTCGTCATGTCACAGGGTCTTACGATTGTTGAAGTGTTGATATCCCCCAAGAGCTGCGCAGACTGCGAATGCTAGAGGTAGCAATTGAGACTTGAAGACGAGTGTGCCTAGGATGAGGGCCACACATGGTATGTATACACCAGTCACGTATTGCGGTGCCAGTAGGCCTGCGGGCTTAACTGTGTGGTCTCTCGACATTGTTGCTTCGCTGACAATCGTTCGATGCTTGGGCAAGGTGTTCACAGGCTGTCGGGTCTTCACTTGTTGCCAGGAAGAGTTCAGCTAGATGTTCTCCGAGGCGCAAGAGAGCAATAATATGCGAGAGTGAGTAAGCTAATCCATCATGACTTCTCCTCAAGGACCCCACGTCTACTCGAAGGGGCCCGAGCGCTGCCACCCGATCATCATAGGCGGACTCTTCCTGGAGCCGTTGTCGAAGTCAGGACGTCCACTGCCGAGGCTCTCAGATCAATCGACCAGGGACCAGAGCCAACGAAATGGTAAGAATAGAGCTTACATACTTGGTAATCATCTTATCTGTAGGATCACGCAATGGTCGTAAATGAGTGGCTTCAGAGTGTAGATCTATCTCATGCACATTCTCGGGCCGCGGCCCGAGATTTTTACTACTATTCTGAAGGCATCTCCAGTGATGTCTGACTTTCCACCCGCCGAACGATGCAAGATTACCACAAACATCGCTGCACGCTTCGTACATGCATATATTCTACACCTTCACAAGAAATTCATAATGTTGCATCAATCTACATCGCCATGAAGTCTCTCAGCTATGCCCTCTCCCTGCTGCAGGGCGTTCCAATCGCCGCTCAAGTCCTCTCAATCATTGCAGCCATCCCCATGTGACAGCATATGTTAAGCCGAGTCCTTAAGGTACCGAGGGTGGATGTATTGATAAACAAATCGCTGTATCAACAGCGACTATAAGAAGTGGAAATATCGGTGAAGCAACTAATACACCTATTCTACCTGACTGTCTGTCATACAGTAAACCAATCTTGTAACACCGATCCCCGGCCTCTATCGGCCCCTCTAAGGCATCCATCGGAGGCTCGGAGCCGGTACCTCACAATTTCATTCCTCATTCGTTGGACAAGCCCTCGTGACAGAGTGACAGTTTCTGAATCTCAATAACTCCGTTCTAGTCAGCCGGCTCAACGCTCTGCGGATTTCTGAACACCTGGTCCGGATCCCACCTCTTCTTTATCTCCCGAAGCTGTGGAAGGTTGCCCGCCCAGTACAGCTCTTGCGCCGCCTTTCGGTCAAGCCATGCATCGACGTATCCGGCATAAGTGGAGCGTGCGCCCGGAGCCCACCGCTGGATCCGCTCGTGAATCCCGTCCAAGAGCTTTCGAGTCGCTGCCGATACTTTGCCCACTCCGATGCCGTAGGATTGATACATGATGACAGTTTCCCGGTGTGGATATGCCGTTGCATTGACGGGTGTATCCATCATGGCGCCGCCTTCGGTATTGAAGATGACTGTGAATGGTGTCGATTTGCTGCGAGCATCCTCAAGGTATTGGAACAAGTCCGTGATTGCCGTGTCATTTAGAAGGTCTCGTTCATTGAGCGACAGTGACTTTGAGTAGAACGCAGTCGGAAGGCTGGCTAAGGTGCAACCAGCGGCTTCAGCCTCATGAAGCAAATGACCCATCCAGTTTGTAAGCCACACTGCACCCTTGCTGGCACCAGGAAGGCGATCAGGGATCCCCGATGCCTGATATTCAGCCTCTGAACCGAAGAAAGTTCCCGTGATGAGGGCTCCTAGGGGTTGAACGATGAAGAGACTTGCGAAGCGTCGGTCCATAGTTGGATCTCCAACCAATGCCTGCCATTCCTTGTATAAGTTGGCCGTTTCGGTTTGTGAGTTAAGAGTAAGGCTGTAGCTGTATTGGACAATATTGCCGGGCTCTGGGCGAGTCTTGACCACGAATCTGGTCACGATACCGAAGCTTGCTCCTGCACCACGCATCGCCCAGAAAAGATCGGGTGTTTTGTTTTGACTTGCGAGATAGATCGTGCCGTCTGCTGTCACGACCTCCATTTCGACGATATGATCGAGAGCACTTCCCCACATTCGAGATATAGGCCCAAGGCCGCCCTTGCGTTGTTAGAAGCAAGCAGACATGGGCTCAGTGGAGACTTACTACTGTCAAGTGGCCACCGGTGCCAACACTTGGACAAGTTCCGTGGGCGATGGCTCGTCTCCCGAATGTATGGAGATTCTTGTCTAGTTCGCCAAGGTTGGTGCCTGCTCCAAACGATGCGAGCCAAGTTTCGTTGTCCATCTCAAAGTCCTTGAGGTTGACAAGGTCAATAGACACGGCGCCGTTGTCACCACCAAGACCATAGTTGCTACTCAGTTAGCGTTGTTCCAGACGTCCAGAGAGTCAGCTTACCCATAGGAGTGGCCTCCAGACTTTGCCTGCACTCTGAGACCACTCTGTTTGGCGCACTTGACAGTCTCGGAAACTTCAATGACATTCTGAGGACGAATAACAGCAGCTGGAATCACTGGGAACTCGAGGTTGAACGGCTTCACCCACTAGGCGAAGAGCGGATCACTCGGGTACGTGACGCAGGAGCTGCGGTTCGCACAGACGGCATCGAGACAGTCGCGGACGGAGATGCTTTGACCGTTGCCCATGTTGAATAGAAGATTGCTGTAAAGAACTATGCTTCTGAAGCCTGTTGATTTCTTCGTGGGAGAAGAAAGTGGATGTTTATACACGTCGATAAGGATGGTAATGAAATATCAAGCGGTTCTAGGATGAGAGCCTTGGAGAAGGTCGCACGCGGGAAGCAAGTCATGTTCTATTGGACACCCCCAAGGCCCCTTCCGAGGTTGACGTTCCTCCCGTCTCCTAATAGCTGTACAGAACTCAAATAGGAAGCAAACAGTTCTGATGTCGGCCGCCGTGACCCGAGATGAGCCACGGCCTTATGGTGTGTGCAGTCTTTGGCGATGTCTGTGCTCTGCATAAAGGCTTGCTGCATCCATGCGCCATCATATCCTACCATTATACATATTCTGCAAGATTACTTTCTGGTACAGTATCTAGGCGCCATTGAAAACCTTTCAAGAATTGCAGCACCATCTGAGGAAGAATTCATGGGGAACCACAGAGCCAAGGGACTTGTGCATGTGTATCGGTCACAACCTCTTCCCACACCGCTGAGAAGATGATGACAAACACTAAGTCAACTTTGTTCTTAAAAAGTGTATCTGAAGGAAAACAAGAGCTGTTAGTAAAGCTCAGAATACAAACACGTCACTCCTCATCTCCCATTCAGTGCCAACCGTTTCAGAACACAGGGCATATATCGACATGTAGAACGCCGTTACAGCATCGTACGAAGCACTATATCGTGTTTGAACAAATTCTAGAAATTTAATATAATAGTCACATTTAATTGAAGACACTGAACGTTCGTGATGATTTCCAGCAACGAGTGACTAGGTAGACGGAAACTTCATTCGAAACGAGCTGCTCGCGGCCCTGCAATCATACTAACTTTAGGATCTGTTATCACAAGCCTCATCTAAAGTCATATAAACTTTAGGCTCCTTTAGTCTAAGTCTATCGACTCATTGAAGTTGAAGAATATGACGAGTATAAGCTTTCTTGAGTGCGTATGGCCACACTCTCTTTATAGAAAGTCTATTCTAAACTCTGTGCATGAGACCATGACTAATAAAGGAACTACAAATAGATCTAGCATTTAAAGCCTTGCTTGATAATATGTTACTTAAAGAAACGATCAAAATCTCTATTTTTCGCATATATCAACGGCCTTCCGGACAACCATGGAACTCAACAATCTCACGCTCAAGCCAGACGGTATTAAAGACGGTCCATCTCTTCTTTTCGATAATGTATATCGCACCTACGAAGACGATCAAAATCCCGAAGCCCTCTTCGGAAAGGCGTTGCGCTATCTTACTTCCTTGAGAGTGAATCATACATCGGAACAACAAGAGATCATACATACAGAGGTCATGGAATCTCTTTTTCACGCCATTTACGGCAGTAATAGCATTGAGAAGGCCGGTCTAGGCTGGGATGCCACACGGTATCTGTGCTATAAGACTCTCCATGAGCCCAACTCCATACTCGAAGTCAATGAGGATGATTCAGACTTCAATGAAAAGGTCCAAGATCTATATGTTGCGGATCCCACTTTACGAGAAAAGTCAAGAAGCCATGTTGTTCGTGGCCGGCGTGAAGTCGTCCAGCACGTGAGAGCCTTCGAACATATGATGGACAGGTTCTGGGTTCATGGCGAAGACCTCACAGAGGATCTCATCAAGAAGACACATGAGATTCTTTGTAAGGGAGTATCGATCATTGATCCGGGTGCCGAGCATCCGGAAGTACTCTATGAGAAATACGCAGGACAGTATCGGGATGTCCCTGTCGGCGCTGGAAACACCATGTTCGTGATGCCGCAATACGTACCCGCAAAAATGGCCGAGATGTGCGCGAGTATAAAAAACGATATCGACGGAAAAAAGAGGTTGGATCCATTTTCAATCGCCGCCAAATACTCGCTTCGGTTTGTTGAGATTCACCCATTTCAAGATGGGAATGGAAGAATGTGTCGCATCATTCTCAGCGCCATCCTATTTCGGTACGTCGGTATTTTCATCTCAATAAGGGAGACCCAAGATGATATAAATGAATATATCAACATTAAGAAGAGGGCGTCAAGAGATATGGAAGGTCACGGAGAGTATGCTACGTTTGTGTTGAAGAAGAGCGTGAAGAGCATACAGAAGCTGAAACAGAGGGTCAACGGGAAGAAAGCAGCATAGGTTGCCCTTTTGAGTGAGCTTGATTTACGATGAGTTTAAATAACATGAGATGGGACGAAATGAGGTATGAGATAAGAGGCACAGACTCCGGGTCTCAGTACTACTCATCCCATCACAACTCATTTAAATTTTAGAATGATTTATCATAAACTCATTATAAATTCACCATAAACTTATCTAAGGTATGCCTAAACTTAGGATTCACATCGTGCAGATGAATAGAACCCTAGTCATGCATCTCGAAGTCATACCAGCTACCTGTCGGGGCTCAACATGTATAATCAGGTAGACTCAGTATCGACCCAGAAGGATTGGGTATAGCAAAAATGAATTTAACCATCACTGTTTTGGAACATTTATTCGCTGGTGATACTGGTCATCACAAAGCATCCCAACTTCATAGATTCGAGTTTGTCAGAGCATCAAGTAAGAGTACATGTGATTAATGTATTGTCCTGCATGTTCAAATTGGCTCGTTACATAAGTTGATATCTTTCAATAAATCATTAGTATGCCACCATGGTGCTCAATCCATCCAGCTCTCGCTGCCAGTTACGGTGTTGGCTGATGTTGAATACGAACTTCTCCAGGAAGCCCTTGGCATCAGAAGCAACGGTGATAATCTCCTTGAGGCTGTCAGGTGAAGCATTCTTCAGAGTAACGACGCCATAGCTGTCGACAACACCGCTACCGTCTGTCTCAGAGAGTGAGATCTCAGGAAGCTGGATAGCCTTGTTGATCAGGTCAACGGCCTCACCAGTACCACCAATGGCCTTCAAGTGACCGAAAGCCTCGCGAATGTAATGTAGAGCTCGGCCATTCTTGGAAAGTGTCTGGATAGACTTCTCACCGCCAGGCACAAAAATAGCGTCAAACATGGTGCTTCGCTGGCCCTCGAGGTGGTGGTCAGGGACAATACCCTTGGAGGAGGATGAATCCTCGTTAGCAGAAAAGATGGCGGAGCGTCGAGGCCCGATAACGAAGGGAAGGGCGCTCTGAGCCTTGATTGCGCCGTACACGGCGTTGAAGGCAATAGGGTCGTAGCCATCAGCGATGATGATGGCAATACGGCGAGACTTGATAGTTGGAGTCTTGGGAAGGAAGTCAAGCTGGCTCAGGTTCTTGGCCTTCTTTCCTGGGTTAGGCTTAGCTTCGATAGGCTTCTTGCCGCCGACCATTTCGGCGATAGTGTTTGCGAGCTCGCCATCAACCACACCCAGGCGCTCCGTCAAGCGCTCGTACACAATAGCCTCGTCGCAGTGATCCAGCTCGAAAGAGAACGCAGCCTGGACGTGAGCCTTCTCAATCTCGGAAAGAGAGTTGTAGAACAGCTGAGCCTGGGAGAAGTGATCCTTGAACTTCTTGCTAAGAGCGCGCTGCTTGATACCGGCAATCTTTTGCTGGTAGTCAACGTAGGCACCCTCCTGGACGGTAGCAGCGGGCTGGTGGCCGTATCGGTTAGGCCAGTAATTGACCTTGCCCTTGGAAATAGTGTGTCGCATGGCACCATCTCGGTTAAAGTTCATGACCGGGCAAACGGGTTTGTTGATAGGTAGCTCTTCCCAGTTGATACCAAGCCGGCTGAGCTGCGTGTCCTGGTAAGAGAAGTTCCTACCCTGAAGAAGAGGATCATCTGATGGGCCAACACCAGGTACGAGATGGCTAGTGCAGAAAGCGACCTGCTCAGTCTCGGTGAAGTACTCATCAACAACTCGGTTGAGCTCGAGTTCTCCGATGTAGCGGACGGGGATCTGGTCTTCCGGCCAGACCTTAGTAGCGTCGAGAATATCGAAGTCAAAGTCATGCTCTTGAGATTCTTCCAACACCTGGATGCCGAACTTCCATTTTGGGTACGCGCCGTTTTCGATGGCCTCCTGAAGATCCTTGCGGTGGAAGTCCGGGTCCTGGCCAGCGAGCTTCAGAGCTTCATCCCAAACAAGGGAGTGGACTCCGAGCTCAGGTGTGAAATGGAACTTGACGAATCGGCGCTCGCCCTTGTCGTTGATGAGAGTGTAGGTGTTGACGCCGAAACCTTGCATCATGCGGTAGGATCGGGGAATTGTGCGGTCAGACATGGCCCACATGTACATGTGAGTTGCCTCCGAGTGTCCCCACACGAAATCCCAGAAGTTGTTGTGTGCAGATTGCGCTTGAGGTACCTCGTTGTGCGGCTCGGGTTTGCCAGCGTGGACCATGTCGGGAAACTTCATGGCATCCTGAATGAAGAAAACAGGTATGTTGTTCCCTACCACGTCCATGTTGCATGTTAATAGTTAGCTTTGCGTTCATTGAATTAATCTGATGATAGCTTCGTGGTGTCGTGGTGTTAGGGTGCGGTGTTGCGGTAGGCCTGCAAGGCCACAAACAAAGAGTTTCGAATGACGGAGGAAGGCACGAAAGGACAATTGAGAGACGACATCCAGAACTGCCCAGGGAATAAAACTAAAAAGAAGAAAAAAAGAAGAAAAAAAGAGGATGATATGCTGCACAAATTCATAGGATTGGATGTGGAGGGGATTCACAAACCTTCTTGGGTGTAGAATTTCACCGCAAACCCACGGACATCACGAACGGTATCAGCGGAGCCGCGGCTTCCCAAAACAGTCGAGAATCGAACAAATACTGGAGTTTCTCTGGATGTATCGGTAAATACGCCGGCTTTGGTGACATCTTCTGCGGATTCGAATAGCTTGAATGTGCCGTGGGCACCAGCACCGCGGGCATGGACAACACGCTCGGGAATACGTTCGTGGTCGAAACGATGAATCTTAACATGCCGTTAGTATCCGAATTCGAATGAGATTTGAACGATCCGTTTATGGAGTAGCATACCTTCTCACGTCCAAAAGCGTCCTCGAGGAGACTGGCTCCCGTCTGATCCTCGCTGTTCACACGCAGCCAGTGATCGGTGTTGTTCTGCTTCACTCCATAATCGGAGGTAATTCGAGTGTCCTCGCTGGGCTCAACAATGTTGGCCTTGAGCTGATCGATCTTATCGCTTCGGTGTCCCATGACTGCGTGTTTGATAGCTCCGGTAACTTGCTCGGTCATGTCGAATCGTGGTCTTTATTCTTGAGTAAACAAAGAATAATTCGCTGAAGAATAACCTCGAAGGATTCCGGGTTTCGAGATCTTTTGTAATTTCGAGATCACAGTACCCATAAGCTGCCCGACTTCAGAACACGTTGGATTTACGTCACACATGCGTTTGTCGATTCATCTTTCCCCGCGGACTGGGGAAATTGGCAGTTGCGATGGGACGACTTGTTGAGAAAAGTCGTCATGTATCGTCAGGAACAAACATGATTGACCTATGAGAAGCTCAGAATTTCCAACGAGGAGAAATGCAATGCACTCTCTGATGCGATCGTGATCTATGTTTGGGGAGGAGGTGCTTTTACTGTTACACCCAGGAAAGAAAGCTCCGGTTTTTGTATCCCCCACTTTCCGTATCTGTCTCGCACTGCCGTTGAAACAACTCAACAGATGGTCGAGGTTGGTTTGTAATGGAGAATTGATGTGGAATCTCGAGGCTAGATGACCGCTACAATTCTGGAATTAACAGGGATTGATGTCTTTCTATGGATCTTTGAGAAGGCGGGTTATATCGATCTTCAGCGAACTGTCAACAAGCAAGACAATCCCATATAACCGGATTGATTTTCAATATTTCCGGGCATGCAAGCCAAAAAGCCTCGTTTGGAGTTTAAAGTTTAGAATCTCTTCAATCTTTGTCTCCTTTCAATATCCGACACATCCGTTACTGGTGTTGTATCTTAGAGACCCTTCTTATCGTCGAACTTGTATCTGACAATGTCAGGAAGAGGCTCATCATCATCAAGCCCGGTCTCGGTGCGCTGAGAATCAGCGATGGATACAGAGCGCGAAACCGTGATGCGCTGTGAATCAGTGCGCTGAGTATCGGTGCCTGTCATCTGAGAATCTCCGGCCAGCTCAGGGACGTCCTGGCTACTGGGGAGTTCTTGAGACGGCGCTACCCCAAAAGCATCATCAAGATCTTCGGCGACGGCGGCAGCGGCAGCCTCTTCGGCCGCTTGTTCGGCGTCAAGTCGTTTGTGCATTTCCTCAATCCGAGCATCGTGCAGGTCATCCATAGTCATAGTTGCCCTTCATATATTAGCAACAGTGATTCAATGTGGGGTGGGGTGCCTTGGAATCTACTTACAGGACCTTCTGAATGTTTCGGTCAGCCACGGTCTGGTCTTGGCGAGCCTTGTTCAGGAGATGGTTGGCATCACCAATGAGCTTCTGAAGCTGCTCCCGCTCCGTGACAGTCACGCCTTCGCGGTTTTCCATCTCAGTGTACAGTTTGACTGCCTCGAGCGCATGCTCCACATAGTCGTGGGGCGACATGGCTAGCAGAAGATGCATGCCAGCTTGATGAAAGCGACCGAGGCGAGGCTCGAGAAGAAGCTCGGCAGCTGTGGTCTCTGCTTCCTCACGGTTGCCCTCGTAGCAAAGTTTCCAAGCCTTCTTGTACCGCAGTTCGAACGTAGCTAGGAAAGAATACGATTAGCACTGAACCGCAGGGTATAGTGAACCATCATGACTTGCGCATAGAACCATTGAAGCCGATCGATAATGAGCTACATCGTTCTGTGCCTTGAACTTACCTGCGAGGGGATTGAGATCACTCATAGTGGCGAGCCGAGATGTGAAAATGAATGATTGGTACGGTGTTGTGATTTAGTGAATATGAAGGAAGAATCCCAAGAGTGTGCCCCAGGAGCAGAAAAGTTGAGGCAACAAGTTGGCCTGGTGTAGGTAGTAAGTACTAAGTTAAGGGAATCGACCACGTAAAACAGAAACGAGCGGCCTAAACCCCCAATACACCCGATTTGCCTAAGGCCGCCGGTTGTAAAGTACGCACGTAAGAGGCAGCAACCGACAGCAGCCGCCACTGTCAGCTGCTTGCACCGAACAAAGATGTACCAAGGCCAACAATAGCGCATGCGGCCGCTTAAGCTGATTCAGCATAGAAAGGGTTGATATGCCGCAAACAAATACTGTGGGATTCGTGATGTTGTTACCAGCACTAATGATTTGTCCTCAGTTGCGGATCCGGGTATCACAACATGCAAATACGTTGGTCACTCGCAGAAATATCAAAGAATATATTTGAACCTTGGTAAATAAGATATGATTGTCAATTAGAAGCTCCTCGAAGTAGATACTTGGTTGTTGTCTCTGTTTGACCAAACCAATAGGCCATCTTGACAACTTCTTCCAGATTCAACTCATTCATATATGCTGCAAGATCGCCCTCACTGAGATCGTGCGTAGGCCACCACAGCCGTTAGGTTTGTTTAGATTGTGTTTGACTTTGTTTAGCCTGAAGTGGCTCGATTTGTAGCTTTTTTAATAGACATTCCGATATCGACCTCGGACAACTGTATCTTCGATGCAAGGGCTATTGCATAAGATTTGGCCAAATCGAGCTATTTTCAGGCAGAAACGGCAGAAACCCGTCTGTTGTTCAAGGCAAGTGAGTACGAAAACTGTGACAACAGGAGAAGTCGTGCAGCTGCGTTATATGTATTTGGTGCATAAGATGCTATGTCCATTCTTCATCCATGAGTAGGTATATCCAATAAATCTACAGACCCAAATCCTCACAGTGTTTACGAACTAACGAAGGCCACGATGTACTGATGCCAAAGATGCCAAAATTTGCTATTAAACTCTCTATCTTTGTTTCCCATGGCTTGTGTTTCATGACAATTGAATCCCATATATGCCATCTTGAAATCATACATGACCGTTGTTTGATGTTGATAACTGCTTCTGCTTAACTTGCAGAATTGAGCAATGTTCGGGATAGAAACTGAGTACCTAGGTATATAGCATTTTCTAACGGAGCAAAATCCCCCAAGAGTTCCAATGCTTTTCTAAAGCACGCTTGATTCTAAACGGTAAATATTGTTAAACCTTTGGCGATCTGAAGATATTCGCAGTGTATTGTTTGCTTGATTGCGCTGTGGCTTCAGTTATCATTTCTCGTGGTAGTGATTGGCAGTTGTTGGCACTTCTGCATTCGCCTTCAGCTTTACGCCATGAGCTATCTGTTTCTATATACGCCAGATGTATGTGAATCACAGCTGCATTGTCTGCTCCATAAATCCCTACCAAATTCTTTCTTTCTTTCTTTCTTTCTTTCTTTCTTTCTTTCTTTCTTTCTTTCTTTCTTTCTTTCTTTCTTTCTTTCTTTCTTTCTTTCTTTCTTTCTTTCTTTCTTTCTTTCTTTCTTTCTTTCTTTCTTTCTTTCTTTCTTTCTTTCTTTCTTTCTTTCTTTCTTTCTTTCTTTCTTTCTTTCTTTCTTTCTTTCTTTCTTTCTTTCTTTCTTTCTTTCTTTCTTTCTTTCTTTCTTTCTTTCTTTCTTTCTTTCTTTCTTTCTTTCTTTCTTTCTTTCTTTCTTTCTTTCTTTCTTTCTTTCTTTCTTTCTTTCTTTCTTTCTTTCTTTCTTTCTTTCTTTCTTTCTTTCTTTCTTTCTTTCTTTCTTTCTTTCTTTCTTTCTTTCTTTCTTTCTTTCTTTCTTTCTTTCTTTCTTTCTTTCTTTCTTTCTTTCTTTCTTTCTTTCTTTCTTTCTTTCTTTCTTTCTTTCTTTCTTTCTTTCTTTCTTTCTTTCTTTCTTTCTTTCTTTCTTTCTTTCTTTCTTTCTTTCTTTCTTTCTTTCTTTCCTTCCCTTTACATCTCATCATCCACAACCGACATCCAGAAGCACGAGATATTTGATGGCGCCAGACGAACGACGAGCCGCCAATCGAGTACCGTCCTTGCTCACGAGACGTGGGTCAGTCATGCCAACCGGGCAGGATGCATCTGAAGAGGCCAATCTATCTAGGGAAGCGTCCACTGGCCGGCCGCCTGCGAAGCGACCACAAGAAACTATCGAGTCATCCTCCAGCCCGGGCGAGTCTTCATCCACACCGCAGAAAAAGCGACAGAAACCCTCTGTCTTTGATCAGCGCGATCGGGTCGCAGTGAACGAGCTAGCGTCAAAGCCGGACTTGATCATGCCGTCGAGCTTCCAGGAGGAGAGGTCAGAAACCCACCTTGAACACATATATCACAACTTCGACCGGTTCAACCGTGACAAGGTGGCTTCGGCTATTCAGGGGATGCAAGTGGAGCTGTCCATTGACTTGGTATCGCCGCGAAGACTTGGGATTCAGAAGTCAGTGGACCTACTTCTAAGCTTGCCAAAGAAGTACAACTATATTCCAGTGGTCAAGTCACACACCAAGGCTGTGCACCTCGACATCAAGAGACATCCTACTGTGTGGTCAATGATGGCTAAACATCCCACCCAAGCAAAGGTTCTAATGATTTACAACCTCCCACAAGAGGAATATTCCGAAAGAGAAGCAACAACTATTTGCAGCTCTCTGGTGGAGATCTTGAACCGATGGCCAGCCGATTTGTCTCTATTGACGAAGTCTCCTGAAGGCTTCAAGAGCGGTTCTTTCCATGCCCGACTTCTCACGCTCGCCTGCAGACACAAGCATCTCCCCGACAAACTTGTTGTTTGTCCCCTTCCTGCGTTCAGACAAGCCAATACTGGACCCAAGGCTCGTGGGGTCAAACGTGAACCGCACTTTCAGCTGTTCATATCATGCCTTCACCCAGTAACGTTCAAGCAGCGTGACGACAAGAAGGAGGCGGGATCTCGAGTGGTCGGTTCAGGTGTGTCTATTCCCGAGCCATCGGACAAGTATCAGTTTGTCGTTTACGACACAAGGGGGGGGATCAAGCGATCTGTTACCAAAGCTGCCCAACAACCTGGTCAAACGCCGTCGTTCCCCTCGGTGCTACCGCCGCAGGAGGAACTCGACCTCACGAATGAGGTTCGAGAGGGACTCTACAATGCCGAGCGCTTGCTTAGACTATACTCAGCTTCCATCATGAATCAAGGCGGCCTGATTGATACTCAGGGGTGTCTGAATATCTGGAAAAGCATTCTTGAGAAGTACGGAGGCCTTATCCAGAAGAAATCGGGCACCAGTCGAGGAATCTTTGGCGGATCAGACCTGCTTCAGGTCTACCCACAGCACGCTAGCCTTCATTCAATAATCAGTCCTGGGGTGACGGTTGAAAACAAGCTACGAGAGTCAGATGATACCTATCGTCTGCCAAACCTGACTATTCGCTCCATCGATCGTTCTTGGTCACTCAGTGTTGAACAGGCCATATCCGATGCCTGGTTATTGGAAGGAGATATCCTTAAGGCTTGGACCCGAGGCGCTGAAGCTGCAGATCTTGTCAATCAGGCTATTCGAGAAAATGAGAGACCGCCCTCTGCTTGCGCGTGTACGCCAGAGATGGCAAAGTTGCAAACTCACCCATGTGGGCAGTGTGGGCAGTTTCAAATATGTGATCAACTCGTCTCAAGCGATTTCGATAGTAGGCGAGTTTGTCTTTCATGTCTGACAAAGATTAAACTACGCCCAGCCGGACGGTATATATTCGAGTATCTTTCTACTGCGATGCGGATCAAGTTATCTATCGAAAAGCGAGCAAGTCAAGGGATCATTAACCAAGCTGAATATGAGGCTATGGTCGAGTCTTGTTTCGAGGAATTGAAGAGAATGCTCCCAACCAAGGCTGATACTGATCGGGCCAATCTCTCTTTCGGAAGCTCCTGGCGCGACACATACTCAGGACGCCTTCATAGTCTGCCGACTGACAACACCGCTCCTACACGCACACAGCCTGACAGACCTAGCATAGATGCCGTTTTCCCAGCATGGCTGACACAATTTGGCTACCGCATGCATTGCCCAGGCAATCTGAAGATCACGGTCCAGGCCATGAACTACACCAAACACGTGCAAATTCCAGCATATTTGGCTATGCTATGTTGGTATGCACATGAGCGGAGTAGAATTGAGCATAAATACCATCCAAACGTGTGGAGCGCCGATGCGCGAACTGAATTTGATATTCTTGAAGCCAAAATGGTGAAAATCTCCAAGAGGCTCCGAATAATCCGGTTGACATTCGGTTGGACAAAGATTCGGCGTCTTCGCGCTAAGAAGACGACCAAGGAACAATTCCTCATTGATCTGGCGCCCATAATTTCTGGTCAATCCCAACCAGAGCTCCAAAGCTCAATGGAGAGACTGGATAATGTATACAATTTTGCGAGGACTGCACATGAGTTCAGACTTCCGGAAAGTGACCGGGCACGTATCAGGACTCTTGTACAAGAGATTCAAGATTTCTTCGACGTCCAGCTGCCAACGGGTGCGGATGGTTGCCCATACTTTGCCCATCCTGATACAATGCCGGAAGTCTGGAACTGGCGAATTGCTTTTCGGTTGTCTAACGAAAGACTCCTACGCATGAAAGCCGCTTGCAACAGGTACTGGCCTACTTACGACACGGTAGAGACGATATTCCTGGAATGCATATTCCAAGTGTGCGTCATCAGGTGTGTCCTTAGGAGTGTTGATGAGTTCTATGAACTAAAGAAACACCTTAAGGCTAAGTATGTATCCATTTTGGGTCTTCCTCTTGCTATCGCTTACCACGATGGCTTGACGTTTTCTGTTGGGCATGCTCAGCATGGTCGCGGAATGTTCACGGGCTGGCCTGCAAAGCCCAGTCGACTGGATGAGCGTCTCGACGCCGACGAATCGAACAACATCCGCATTGAAACTCGGTCTGAGAACTTTCTGAAGGCTGATTACGATGAATCAACCTACTCCCAGCTGAAGCAAATGATCATGGACATTGACCTTCCCAAGGATGTCTATGACAAGACTCTGAAGCCGGGTAAGTTGTCAAAAGAAGACTTTGATGCTCTCAAGTGGGACGGTGAGGACGTCAATGATGACGACCTTTATAACAATGAAATTGCCTTATTCGACCCTGAATTTCTGCAGACGGATGAATCCGAGACACCCGAAGCTTCGAAAGTGCCAATGACAGAGGGCGAGGCCTCCCAGGCCCCCGAACAACGGGCGACTGGGGAGACTGTTCCACTTTCAACTGAACCTTCAACTAAAGTAAGTCACTCACTTGAAAATCTCTGTATGATCAAACTGACATCGTATACTCAGGCACTTGGAAAGATGCCGCTCCGCGTGAAGTCGAATGAGACCGATTACAGTGAAGGCCTCTCTGCAGGAGAATTGGACAGTGAGTGGACCACGACAATGTCGGGCGTCGCTGGACTAGATAAGTCGAATTCTCAGAGACAGTTGACATCAAGAATATCTTCTATCGAGTCTCGTTACAGTACCGGAGGGCTCTCCCCCGAGACTATGGAGCAGAGCTGGTCCGAGATTATGGGCAACGAGATGGAAACCAAATGGTCACAACTCATGCAGACCATCGAGGCTCGCTCAATTGACGTATCGGCAGATCGGGGTCTTGGGGCTCTGGTGGACAACCTCCGCAACGCAAAGGAGAGTGGAAACGAAGAAGCCTTCACGGCTATTTTCACGGTGATCCAGCAGGAATTATCTTGATTTTTGTGGAGCTTACGACGTTTGTAGCGAACGGAAGGAATTTGGGGGTTATTGTTTTTGTTTCTTTGGCCTTCCTTCGCACGGTAGTGTATGGGCCGTCACTCGTCCTACCGGCCGGCCGGTAATGCGCAGGGTTGGCTGCTACGGTTTTGACGGTTTACGTAGCTTAGGAAAATAGACATTGCAGTCGCATGATTGATGAGCCTTGTCGTGATGCTGATCCTAAGTTTAGTCCATTTATGATGATTTTATAAATCTAATCATAAGTTTACCTAAGTTTAGCTCATCCACTCACTATCTCCACAAGTTGGTCGATTGAGTATAATCAACAAGGGTAAAACTAGACCCTGGAGTTTAGGCAATGTCACGACGAGCAGACCTTCTCTCCCATCGAGGTGGTTTGTCGATAGAAATGCGTTGGCGTTGCTGCTCGCATGAAGGATGCGGCCCAAATTATGATTTATGCCAAGAATTTACCAAGTGCATGTATTAACGTAGCTGGCGCCGGTATACTGTATTGAGCCAATTTTGGACCAACAGTTTTCGGGGAGAAGACCAGTCTCGTATTTCTTATTCCCTACAGCTGGACATCCACTGTCAACATGGTGCCCCTAAATCGTCTTCAGAGTTTCGATACTGTTTTATTCCTGCGCGTGTGGCTAAGTCCCTTAAAATGATCTTCGTATATCCGTCCTCTTCACCGAATCCCATGAGGACCTGAACGACAGATTACAGCAAGAAGTCTCAGCTTTTGAACGTCATTGGCCAGCATAAGTTTAGAATTCTACAATGATGAGTTCCCTTAATAATTTTTCAATTTGACCGGATGCTCGGGACATTGGCTCATGATATCCAAGTTGTTGCGTGGGGCAGTTGTCAAAGCGACGTCAATGTACGTCATCGATATAGCATCATTCCCTGCTTGAAACCGCGTCACTATCAAACATTTTGAGAGAAATGAATGCAGTGAAAAACTGTCGGTTCCTTGTGTGACCGGCATTTCTCTTCCCTTTCTTGGTTTCGTGAATTTCTGTTCAGCGTACCATCAACTGCAAATTTGATCTCAGACGCAAGATGCCAGGTGAAGTGATCGATCGCCCTAACCCGGCTCCGCTGGACAGTCATCTTCCAGATGTAGCTCTGGAATTGGCACTCAAGGCGCCCAAGAAGCAGTTGGACAAGAAGATCGCCCAATCGCTCAATGATTTCCAGCATGCGGCATGCTATATTGCAGGGTGTAAGTGAGATCAATTAGTGCGGCGGATGTGGCTAACGCCAAGACAGCCATGATCTTCCTCAAAGACAACGTCTTACTTGAGAGGGACTTGAAGGCAGAAGATATCAAGCCACGATTATTGGGTATGTACTCTGTAAGCATCGCTCGTTCTGGTGCCTAGCTAATGTTTGAAAGGCCACTGGGGAACATGTCCAGGCATTATCCTCGTCTGGTCGCATCTCAACCTCCTCATCCGCAATCATGATCTGGAAGTGATCTTTGTGATCGGACCCGGCCATGGTGCTCCCGCTGCTTTGGCCTCACTATGGTTGGAGGGATCTCTCGAGCGATTCTTCCCTCAGAAGTATGGAGTTAGCAAGGATGGCCTGCGAAATCTTATTACCGGTTTTTCGGTTCCTGGAGGGTTCCCTAGGTAAGACAGGCGTTAAACGTCAGGATAAACCGAGGCTAACCAGTTCAGTCACATCAACTCCGAAACTCCGGGTTCTATCCATGAGGGTGGTGAGCTAGGCTACTCCCTAGCTGTTTCATTTGGTGCCGTCATGGACAACCCAGACTTGATTGTCACTTGCCTGGTTGGAGATGGTGAAGCCGAGAGTGGTCCCACCGCAGCGTAAGTTATTCGTATCTTTTCGTGTCATTGACTGACTGTTTAGTGCTTGGCACTCCATCAAGTACATTGATCCCGCCGAGTCTGGAGCCGTTATTCCCATTCTGCATGTGAATGGCTTCAAAATCAGCGAGAGAACCATTTATGGATGCATGGACAACAAGGAACTATCCAGTTTGTTCGCCGGCTATGGATACCAGCCAACAATCGTGGAGACTCTTGAAGAGATCGACAACGAGCTTTCTGGTGCTTTGGAGTGGGCTGTTAGTGAGATCAAGAAGATCCAAAAGGCAGCTCGGGATGGAAAGCCCATTATTAAGCCACGATGGCCCATGATTGTTCTTCGAACACCCAAGGGTTGGACAGGTCCCAAGAAGGTGGATGGCGAGTTCATTGAGGGATCTTTCCACTCCCATCAGATCCCTGTCCCCAACGCCAGCAAGGACGAAGAGCACCTCAAGATTCTTCAAGACTGGCTTGAGACCTACGATACAGCTCACTTGCTCAAGGACGGAAAGCCTGCTGACAGTATCTTGGAGATCATTCCTCAGAAGGATGAAAAGCGACTTGGACAGCTCAAGAAAACATACGATCCTTACCAGCAGCTGCAGGTTCCCGACTGGAAGACTTTTGCAGTGGAGAAGGCTTCGCAAAATAGCTGCATGAAGCAAACTGGCGATTTCCTGAACCAGGTCATCAAGGAGAACCCCAAGAGCTTCCGTATCTTCTCTCCCGATGAACTGGAAAGCAACAAGCTCAGTGCAGTCTTTGAGAACACAGGCCGGAACTTCCAGTGGGATGAGTTCTCTCGCGCCCAGGGCGGCAGAGTCATTGAGATACTGTCGGAGCATTGCTGTCAAGGATGGATGCAGGCAAGTATTCCGGGCTGAAGTTGGTGGTGATGCTAACAGCAACCAGGGCTACACTCTCACCGGCCGTACTGCTCTCTTCCCCAGTTATGAGTCTTTCCTCGGCATCATCCATACAATGATGGTGCAATACTCTAAATTCAACAAGATCGCGCGCGAGACCAACTGGCGAGGTGATCTCAGCTCAATTAACTACATCGAAACTAGCACTTGGGCTCGTCAAGAACATAACGGCTTCTCTCACCAGAACCCATCATTCATCGGCTCTGTTCTCAACCTGAAGGCTGAGGCGGCACGCGTGTATCTCCCTCCCGATGCCAACTGCTTCCTTAGCACCATCCACCATTGCCTGAAATCCAAGAACTACGTCAACCTTATGATCGGCTCAAAACAACCCACTGGAGTCTTCTTGTCGCCTGATGAGGCTGCCGAGCATTGCCGAAAGGGTGCGAGCATCTGGGAGTTTGCCTCCATTGACAGTGGCAAGGAGCCCGATGTTGTGATCGCTGGTATTGGTGTTGAGGTTACCTTCGAGGTTGTCAAGGCTGCTGAAATTCTTCGCGCCTGGATCCCTGAGCTTCGAGTCCGTGTCGTCAACGTCACTGATCTCATGGTTTTGGCCGCCGAAACCCGTCACCCACACGCACTCAGCCGAGCTGACTTCCTTGATATGTTCACGGAAGACAAGGCTGTGTGCTTCAACTACCACGGATACGCCGCTGAGCTCCAGGGTCTTCTCTTTGGACGCCCTGGTCTGCACCGCATGACAGTTGAGGGATACAAGGAGGAGGGTAGCACTACCACGCCATTCGACATGATGCTCCTCAACTGGGTCAGCCGATTCGACGTCGCCAAGCGTGCGCTCAAGGGTGCTGCTGAGACAAACGATAAGATCAAGGCCAAGCTTGACGAGACACTCAAGAAGATTGACGACAGAGTTGCAGAGGTCAAGAAGTACATTCAGGACGAGGGCAGGGGTAAGTTAACTTCGCACACCAAAAGTTCAGTGCTAACAAATGACAGATCCTGAGGACTTGTATGATATGCCCAAGTTTTAAGGGGTTATAGAGGATTTACGGAGTAATGGGGTAATTGAAAGGTCTAGAAGTAATTTGAAGAGATAAGCGAATGAGATTACGACATGCATGCTTTGCCCGAATATTCCGTGATCGCTGCGACGCGAGACCCTTGGAATCATTGCTTCAGAGGCATGGCATGAACCACAGGTCAATAGATATTGACAAGTTTCTTCGCCATTTTGAGTCTTTACGTGGCGGCTGAAAAGTCTCAAAGAAGTTGAACCGTGTCTCCAACTTTTGACGCGATGGTCATGGCTGGCATTGACAAGGATGCGAGCCAGGGTCAACGTGGTCTAGACTCCAAAGCCAAGCCAATCAAACAGCTCAAATTGACGCCTCAAGCACGATTCAGGCAATTCTTGATCTCGGCCGGAGATAACATGGGGACGACGAAAACACAGTTGCTAAGACATTATGGAAGCAATATCTTTCCCTTGCACCATAGACCTTGTCTCAGTGTTAGGCTTCTCAATCGGCACTCTGAGTCATGGAATAGCTTGCTAAAGGTGTATTGCAAATTGGATTTGGGTGCGGTCCTACGCTTTGTTTACGCTATCCTCCTTTGAGTCCTCTTTCTCCCATAACGCATGATAGTCAAGGGCAAGTATACACAATACAGCAAGCCTTAGCATGGAGCCAATCACAAAGCAAGTATTACCCATGCATCTTCATACGAATCTTCCTTCTCTTTCTGCTCCTTGTATTCCTTCTCACCACCCGAATCGGCGGTCCTCGCCCTTTTAACATTGGAGTCATCCATGAAAGGGTCCTGCTCCTTTTGTTCCTGTTCACTGGGGGATGACTGATCTTGTTCGAGGGAGTAAAAGAAAACCATATAACGATTTCGCAAAGCCGCCGCTCTGCACTCCAATGGCCTATAAAAGATTGTCAGTGACGTTTACCTGGTGAAGTATATCTCTTACCTTGTACTCTGGCTCTCGATCCAGGCGGTCTCGACCTTTTGCCTTTCTAGCATTATTTTTGTTGCCTCCTGCAACTGCTTCTCGGTGTCCGCACTGTCATTGGTTTTTATCAGCTGTGTGAGAATTTTGACGCCCTCTGTGGCATGGTGAAGCCCCATTTCGGGGATTTCGGCCAGTTTCATGTGCAAGTGTGCGGCATGGTAGGGATTGAGGCCTTCCTCCTGGACTAGTGCTTTCGCCGCCTTTAGTACTTCGATCGGAGGGCCCTGGCGTTCGCGATTGAGATATTGCTTGAACCGATCATGCAACTCCGCTGACTTCTGTTAGTCTCCAGACTTCCCCCGAAAAGGTATACGTACCTTGGCGGGCTGTTGGCATGGGGATTGGGGAGCTCATGATTGATATGAAGATGGGAATATTGTTTAATTGTGTAGAGCTATGGTTGTTGTGATGAAATGATGGTGGTGGTTTTGATGAAGATTGTGATGGAGAAGATTGTGATGGAGAAGATTGTGATGGAGAAGAAGATCATCCTGGAGCGAACTGTCGGCAGAATCCGAAAAAATGACCGCGCCTTCCTTTACTCTTTGGATGTGTCAAGTGCCAGGCAAGAAGCAGTTGGCGACGGGAAACCAAGGACATGCTCGTCTGGGGAAGGAGTTAACTGTATGACCTCAGCAAAATGATAACAGCGGCTTTGTCTGAAAGTTCGCATGTGTTTGCTCAAGTTTGGCATTCGTTCTATTCCTTGTTATGTAGTTACCTTACCTTTGGGTGTTGGTGCTGATGCCGTCAACCTTGTCACAGATAGCATGTCATAGTTCTCATGAATATGGGGCAAAGTAATAAGCTACCCTACAATGGATGAAATGTATTATTGCATATTAACCAAACCCTGCGCAACCAAGATCTTCGAGGCAAAAATAGGTACATAGGAAATGCCTTCCATTTGATGAAACAATAACGAAAGAAGAGCAAGCAGTTTGTGTGGTCGTATACGTTGCCTGTTTCTTTTTGAATTGTTTCTCTACTCCGAACGAGTAGGGCCACCTTTGCTCCTTTAAGGACACCAACGCTCCACGACAACGCCCTGGAGACGTTCCAATACGTCAAAGTCAAGACCCTCCTGACGAAAAGCGACAATAATCATTTCAAAGTCTCTTTCAAGAGCCCTGACAGTCCAATTAGCTTCATTGAGTCTCTGAATCTGAGGAACAGCATTTTGCGACACGAGAGGATCTGCCCAAGCGACATCGACCTTGCTCGTTTCGACCAAACGCCTCGCCAATTCGAGACCAGGGGAGTTGGCAAGATGCGACTGCCCGCGCTTGAAGCCAACGCCAACCACAAGGACGCGTGGTCGCAGGCCGTTCCTGTCAACACTGTAGAGACGCGTCACAGCGCGTTGTGCGATTTCGGAAGGACGATCGCGCATCTTCTCAGACGCTGCTCGCAGAAGAGGGAATTTGCTGTTGGAAAGCAAATACCATGGATTGACGGGAATGCAATGGCCGCCAACTCCAAGGCCTGGTGAGAATGGGAGGTAGCCAAATGGTTTAGTGGCAGCTGCGCGACACACTTCATACGGATCGATGTCATGGGGACCACAAGCATCCGCCATCTCATTGGCGTAGGCGATGCAAACCATACGCTGGCAATTCTCATACAGCTTCATCATCTCGGCGACTTCTGGCTTCGATACTGGCACAACATGATCGAAACTCTTCGAGTAGAGCCTCATGATAGCATCAAGCGACCCCGGGACCACGTCGTCAAGTCCAGACACAACCTTGGGTATGGAGTGGGCTGGCGGTTCGGCACGACCAGGGTCAACACGCTCAGGAGACATGCCCGCGAAGAACCCACGTTCTTTTGCAAGAGGACCAAGAAGAGCGCGCGTCATTCCCACTGCCACCGAACTCTCCACCACGACCACAGCGCCTTGACGACCGTAGAGCTTGACCACGCCTAGAGCACTCCGAAGGTATGATGAGTCGATCGTTTTGTGATCGATCAGAAGGGTCGGTACTGAGATGAGAAAGTGGGTGACTTCAGCAAGATCTGAAGGCTTGCATGTGAACTTGGCACGACTGCCGACGGGTTGCTTCTGAGTCAACTGTTGAGTTCGAGCTTCTGATACATCGTATCCAAGCACATCGTGGTTTTTTGAGAAAACGTCGACTAGATGCTCTCCAACATAACCGACCCCTATGACAGCAACAAGGGGCTCAGCAGTTGCATCAATGGGTTCGGTAACCGCGTTGAAGACATCTTCTGCCTCTGAAATTTCACTTGGAGGAGTGATGTCGTAGTATTCTCGACTGGAAATGTTCCACGACTTGGTGTCTGGTTCATGACTAACAAAAGGAAGCCCCTGGACAAGAAGGCTCTCGGCAAGAATCTGAGCCATGATGGTAACGATTGACAATCAACGAGTGAATGGGGTGAAGTGGAAAAAGATACAGAGAAATCATTCGGGTTCGATGGGAGCATATGTATCATCAATGGACGACTATGGGCTCGTATCGAGCGATCCCTCTACAATTCTTGCTTCACAACGCGACCGATGAATCGAGAACTTTTCCTTTCCGTTCAAATTCAACGGCTATACCTTGCGGCGTCAGGCCTCAGTAACCGGAACTTTCTTACACGATACTCCGAGCCTCAAGTGGAATCTTGGCCTACGACAGGAATTGCCCCTGAATAACTTGCCGCACGAATGCATCTGGCCACGCAATATCATTGCACCAACCAAGATGTGATTTTCAAGTCACAAAGACTGAAACTAGCAACAGCCACTCCGCTATCCCAACTCGAGAAAACTTGCGAGGGCCAATACAGCCTCACCGATGCCTTGGTTAATCCCCTGTATCCTATGCAGGAGTCAACTAGCCTGGAAGCACTGCATCCATTTCAGCTGACGTGCCTGAATTAACATCCTAGCTCAGTCAAATTGTTGTACAGGATGACGAGGGTATGTCGAGGTTGAAGATCAGTCAATTGTTACTCCATTTCGCGATACATTTCCACGGTCAGATATGTCAGCATACTGCGCCATGACTAATCTCTTGAAAAGCTTCTCGGCTCAATGGCTGGTACTCATTCTGGCTGGCTCGACAGCATGATCGCTCAAATTATTGCGTTGAAAGTGTGATTGAAGAACCAGGGGATGAAGCCTCAACTCAAGCTTGCGGGCTGTTGAGTATCGTCTCCGATGCCAAGACGGCTTCATAAGTATCCATGAAATTATTTAATGCGTTTTAAGGGAAAAGTTCAATCGCTTGAGGGCGATTGCATATGAGATGCTGGCAGTATGTTCACTGTGACACCGTGAAGGACAATATTAGGACCAGATTTTCAATGTGGGGTCAGAAACTCCCCCTCAACCCGACAGCGGAAAACGGAACAGCCTTGAACCTGGCAAGGCTATTTCGCCTGGGATGTTTACATGGCTTGCTGAAGTCGAGCTGAATGACGTTACACAAGCTGACGGAACGCGTCAGTTTCTTCCCGACGGGCATTAAGCTTACTGTCCCTGTTTCGTGTCCCGGGACGGCTCATATTTTTATCACGACAAGGATGCGAACAAACAAGCGTCTTCAAATCGGCAGCCAACCTTCCAAGCTATTCTGGACCTTGTGTAACGATACGCAAGAGACATTTAAATGGGACGAATACGAGAATATGCGCCAAGAAAAGCTCGGATAATCCGACTGGAAGACGCTGCAAAAGTAAGGATAGCTGCAGGTGACTCGCGTTTTTGGGTGTCTGGAGAAAGTTTCCTCCATGGACTTGAGGCTGATAGCAGATCCTGGATACTGCCCGTTCTTGTCAGCTAATCATCACAATCAAGGGCCAACACATCATATTGGTGTCGATGAGATTATTGAAACCTGAAGAAGCAATCACGTCCTGCTGCCCGGTGTGGCATCAATGGGTCAATATCTGCAGGTCGAATATTCTTCACATTGTCAAATCAGAGCGCTATCGACATGCAATTGCCCGAAAAGAAAGCAATAAATCAGAGACAGTGGCCTCACCTGATGATGGCTGGCTTGTTGGGGATGGCTTATATTGATCTCAACGTGGATCCTCATTGACCATTAGGTGACCTAGTATGAGGCCTAGGCTGCCGGGGCAGTACATTCAACTCGGCTAATGCTCTCTCGTGTTCAAGGTGCAGAATTTGGGCGTTCAAAGCCCTCTTAATCTTAAGTTGGATGTTTACCTCGCTCAGGAGCTGCAGTTACGCGTGCCCCATGTAGATAAACTCTCTCGAGGCTTCATACAACTACCCATCGGCCGCTCGCATTGCCACTCGTTCAACTCATCATTTTACCCTTCTTTGTTCCAAGTATATTGCCCCCGTTTCATTACTATCGTTCAAAATGAAAGCCAGCCTTCCCGTCACCCTTGCTTCCCTGTTGCTTCATGCAGGGACTGTTCTGTCTGGACCAGTCTTCGCAGCCGATGATCTTTTGTCATTGCGCGATTCGAAGTTGAGGAAACGTGCCGAGTGTGGTCTTGGGATTGGTTCGTGCAATCCTGGATCCTGTTGTTCAGAGAGTGGCTTCTGCGGAACAACCGGAGACTTTTGTGGTGGTTCTGCTTGCCAGCTCGAGTACAGCGATTCGTGTGATACTTTGTAAGTGCCATCTGAAGCTTGGGAATCACAGACAAGATCTTGTATCTTCCAAGTCCTCGTACTGCAGCAACGGACATGAAGCTGACGTGAAGACCAGTTTCGGGCCTCGTGGAAGCAGCACGGAAGGGATTTCTCGACCACAGCTTGGCAATGTCCCGTATGGTATGTTTTTGTATCAAAGCTAATGGCCGTATGCATTAATAGATGCTTACAGAAGAAACAGGCTCTGTGATCACAACTTGCACTACACCCGGTGTGATTGCTCTGACATTTGATGATGGCCCTCTCGACTACACCAATGACCTCTTGGATCTTTTGGGTGAGAGAGATGTCCATGCGACTTTCTTTGTGGCCGGTAACAACAGGGCCAAGGGGCATATTGATGACTCGTCCAACCCATGGCCCGCTGTGATGAGACGCATGTACTCTGCAGGCCATCACATTGCCAGCCACACTTGGACTCATCGCAATCTCAACGAGGTCAACAGCACCATCCGAAGATCTGAGATGATCTACAATGAGATGGCCTTCCAGAATCTCTTTGGTTGGATCCCGACCTACATGCGGGCGCCATACCTCGAGTGCAACGCCGCATCTGGCTGCCTCGATGAGATGTCCGAACTTGGCTACCATGTTGTGGACCAGAACATCGACACGAAGGACTACGAAAATGATAGCCCTGCGCTGATCCAGATCTCCAAGGATCGCTATTCTGCTGGAGTTTCATCCAACTCAGACAGAAACCAGTACATTGTTCTGGCACATGATGTCCATGATCAGACTGTTCACAATTTGACTGCGTTCATGATCGATACTGCCCAAGATCGTGGATACAGGCTTGTGACTGTCGGGGAATGCCTTGGTGACCCTCGGGAGAACTGGTACCGAACTGTTTCTCGAGGCCGAGATGTCACATCGACAGAGTCGGCTAACCCTACCCGAACTGTCCCTCCTACTAACGTGTCGGTGACAACAAACACTGCTACTGCAACTGCTACTGGTGGTCTTGTAATTTCCCCAAACCAGCAATGTGGTGGTAACACAGGCTATACTTGTCAGGGGTCAGCCTTCGGAAGCTGCTGTTCCTGGTATGGCTACTGGTACGTCTTCTCCACTCTATTTGTAAAGGTTTAGAGCTTGCTAACATTATCTAGTGGATCGAGTGAAAGCTACTGTGGAACAGGCTGTGATACAGATTTTGGGTCGTGCACGCCTTCCGGAAGTGACATTCACGACACCACCAACGGTCTTTGTGGTCCAGGTGTCAGGGCTTCATGCGGAAACTACGGTGACAAGACCTGCTGCTCTCAGTACGGGTTCTGGTGAGTACCCCTCCTAGTCCAAGATAACAGATGTAACTGACATGTACACAGCGGCAATAGTGCTGCTCACTGTGGAGCTGGTTGCCAGGGGGGCTTTGGAGAGTGTAACTGAGGTGCATGTTTATCCATCAATATGATGTTAATGCTGTGACTCAGACGGGAGAGGCTTGCGGAGAGGGTAAGACAGTGATAGCTGTCGGGATATTCTTGTTTACTTTCTTGTATCCTTCCAGGATCATTAATTGTCCACGTGTGGACCTCTTTAGCTGATATTTAGACTTAATTGGTATTGATTGACGGTAATTCTGCAATAAATCTTGTCGAGTTAATCTATCTTACATGCTTTCAGCTGAAAATGAGCTGCATGGAACTTTTTCCCGGTGAAAAATTCAGTCTTGCTGAAATTACGAGTCTGATGTCTCACAACATCAAACGTGCATTTAAACATGCAGAGCCTCCTGAAATAGAAACCCATGCAACTAGTCTGGGACTATATCCGCTGTATCACCACAAGAAACGCGTCACGGCCTCACCTTGGCCTGCATATATCAAATCTCGATTCTTACTGGATAAGCCTAACTTGCAAACGACCAACCAACGCAGCGTGATCGGCGTGGGGTTCCGCATCCCGAGTGTTACACAACATCTCGGGATGCTACTGGATGTAAGCAGTTACGCAACGGGGATATCTTGTCCGTGGCGGGGATGTTGGGAAGAAACTGGGATATGTAGGTGAAAGACCGGGATGCGTTTGTAGTGATGGGTGGGTGGGCAACTGGGCAATCGGGTTGCGGAGATCGTCTCGGTGAATCTTGCAGATTGCGTGCTGGGTTTGCTGGCAAAAGTGTGGCTGCATATAATGGCGCTTTTGTATAATGCGTTTGTTTGGTGGTGTGGATGGGTGGACTACTGCAGGTCCGGCCGTGTCTGTTCGGGTTGGGCCGTGGACTTAAGTTTAAGCTTGAAGCGGGATCTTGATATCCCACTGCAGGTGTTGTGGGAGAAGGTTCTGGATGGTGTTGAGGTATATTGTGAGTTTGAAGGTTGGAGTTTGGGGTGCTGATACTGAGGAACTCTTCAATGCTGGAACAATGCCTCATTCCATATGTTATTCTATCGTCTTCTTACAGTAACAGGTTCGGCTTGAGAATGCTATTCTTGAGCTGTCACTTATCCTGTCAAGCTGAGAGCCTCGTATTCTGCCATCTAGATCTTCCTCCTCTCTGCAAAGACCCGAAATACCAGATACACATACCCTGTTCCTTGCAGTGACATACCAATGCATCGAGGCCACTGTGATATAGACTCTCAACAAGTCAAAGATCCACGCATCGAGATTCCACAGGCCTCATCCCGAAATAATCGCCCCATACGGTTCGGGTGAGATTAACGGTGACACAACAAACCCAATTGCCAACAAGTCTCCCGCTGCCTTGGCTGCAT